AAGGCTGAATTGAATTTTGTAGCTGTAAAAGCCCATCTGGACAACACAGCTTAGTGTTACGGAGTGAAGTGTGGCTCATTGCTTATAAAGGTACAATGCACTTAAGCCTCCAGCTGACCATTTGGCAGAGGATTTACATGCTTATGTATTTAAAAATTTCATTAAAAAAAACCTTTTCAAAGCTTTCCACACAAGTCTGCGTATGTGGGTAGACTTGTAGGATGGTAGGATTTAAGCACATTCTGCTCAGGCCCTCTTGGAATTCATTGCAATAAAACGGTGTGAATTGCGATCATTTGCTACAGTACCGAAATTCAATGGAACAAATTGCAACACTGCTAAACAAATAAATAAATGATTCAGTTTATATCTGATGTTTTAGCCAATTCAGATGCAGAATACTTGAATTGATTCATCTTGTCTAATTCCTTCTATCTTTATATTTACCAGTCACGCTCAATTTGTCTGTCCATGTTTTCAGTACTTTCAGCATGCACACAGATAAGGCAATAATGTCATTTTAGGTTAGTTGTCAGTATCAGTCATGTCAATCAAATTCCACCTGATCACTCTGAGGAGACCTTTAAAGTTTCTTTTCATTTACTGTACAATACTGTGATTTATTGAACATGCAACACTTTGTGCAATAAATGACTGCCACAAATTTACGACAAATAATGCTGATCTAGGGCTGAAGAAGTCTTAAACTTTGATCCATACAGTGCCCATGAAATGAGTCCTAAAACCCGGAAATGAGTGTTGGTCAACACAAGTTAAAGAGACTTTCATATTCTGTTCTATTACATAAAATACATTGTTAATTACCCTGCTCATGATTTTTGAAGCTTTTAGTTGTCTTAAAAAAGGCAGTTGCTAACAAGTGGCTAAATGAGACTAAAAGCGTCATCACACTGAACAAGGCTTTAAAGTATCGTGGTGGGGATATTAAGTCATGTGACCGTAGGGTAGTTTGTTTATAGTTTGTTATAGTTCATGTTAGCTTTTTACTTCTGTGTAAGTATCATTAATATTTGTTTGCCACTAAGTTTATTGTCTGCAAAAATCCCAAGTCCAATGTTAAAATTCTATAGATTTTTTGAAAAGGGAACCAGGGTGATGCTAACTTCCCTTGTCGGTCTACAGAAAAATATCATCCCTGGAGCACTGTGGTTACTTTGTAACTCAGCATCAGAAGTGGCATCACTAATTCAAAGGTCGTAGAAAACAAAGGATCAGAAAAACTCGTAAACTGCCTAAATTTAAGGCATTAGAAATGACAAAACTTTATAAAGTTGTAGAGGTCTTCATGGGTTGTAGAGGTCTTTGTTTACTGTAGAAATTTAAAAAAAAATCTTTCTTAAAAGGACCCAAATTCAATTTTATATATTCACGGATATACACATCAGGAAATGAACCCTTGTCATCAACTGGGGACATGTTCAGGGTGTCTCCCACCCTTTGCCCAATGTCAGTTAGGATGAAATGAATATCTTTTGCATTAAAGGTTCTAGAGGTAATGACATGTTTTTTTCACAAGGCAATTTCACCTGTTGGAGACCCAAAATGGCAGTGAGTGATACCTGCTTGAATGTTGCAGATGTCATTACCCAGAAATTTTCAGACATTTTTTAAGTTTTAACTCAGTTTCAAGGGTAAACCCTAGAGATGCTTTGCAGAGTTTGAAACTCTAAAACATGGTGCATTTCTGGCTGCACCCCAGTTAGTGACAACACTAGACAGATGTTTACATTTGCAGCCAAAGGCAGAACACTGACTCTAAAGCCCCTTTTACACTGCCAGATTTTCCGCAAATGTTGGGCCATTTTGCGAGCAAGCTGCAAGCATTTAGACACACAGAGCTGAATTGGCGAGTTGATCCGAGGTGCCCAATTTTCCGCCTCGTAGGGTAGTCATATTGGCGGAACCCTTTTAGTTTAAACAGATCAAGGCGGCCTTCCGCAACGGGAGGGGCTGTTGAAGACTTGTGGGAGGAGCTGTTGATGACGCTTCACATGCGAGCCACTGGCGGTGGATAAACAGAAAACAGTTGATAGCAGGAATTAGCGAGCAGCTAGTAGCAAGAGAGAAAGGCAAACCTGACAGACACTGTAAAGATGAGCAACTGGGGAGACAAGGAATTGTGCGCCCTCCTTGCCCTCGCAAACGAAGAGGCCATTAACCGTCAAATGACGGGAACGGTGAAGAACAGGCCGACTTACGAGAGAATCACCGAAGGACTGACTAGCCGCGGCCTCCCTCCCACATCACTGTTTACGTCACACGCTGAGCTACACGTTTTGTTTCTTGCTCACGCCCCCATTGCCCCGAAAAAGGCACATTCTGTATAAACAAAAGTAGGTAAGCAGCATTTTGCCGCACTCCCCGATTTTGATTTTATACTGCCAATGCTGAAAAAAGACTGATTGTGCTTTCCTGCTAATTTGCACAATTCCTATCTAAAAAGGGCTACAAATCACTCATTGGGGTGTGGCCAGAAGTGCAGCATGCTTGGAAGTTACAGTCTGGGCAATAAAAAGTCCACATCAGTTTCCTGTCCTATTTGACATAGCACTGATTCCTTATTAGAGCAATTATCAAACATTTTTTGGAGGTGCTTGTTTGCTGTCAGTCACAGTTATATGAGAATACTAATATGAATTTGCACTGTATGTTCCCTACAAAAATAGTTGTTAGCAAAAAAGGACAGCTTTTTAATCACTCCAAAGCTTTCTTATTCACATGTTGTAACTTTTTTATGAAAACTAAATTCTGTTGTTAAAAAAGCAGGAAAAACAGTCACAGGATTAGTGGTACCACTTGATGAATACCTACTTAATCATTTGCCACGAGTGTAGTCTGCTAGCATCGGTGGAGAGCATCAGCAACCTAGCTAACCTAATGTTTCATAGATTTCAGACCAACTGTCCAGACCAGGCAACCCCACTAAAAGGACAGGACCTTTAAGATGCTGCATGCACTCGCTTTGCTCAGTGGGTGTTTGTCAAGAAACAGCTTGAGGGCATAACTGCTGCTGAAACCAAAATAGCTTCTTTTACATTACTGTTTCTAAACATGTAAGTAAAGCAGCTTTGGAGTTGTTGAAAGTAATATTCTATATGTTTTAAGGAGCTGGGCTGGCAGTTACTCCCTGTTACACCTCTGTACTGGATGCACTGTATGTTTGACTGTTGCTCCAAGATTTGATTCAACAGTTGTGTGGGTTTTCCCCCCCACAGAACAGTCATTGTCAAAATGATATGTAAAGGTCGTGTGCTTGTTTGACTCAGTCATTATCTGTGCCCAACTATTTGTCACATATTTATTTGGGTGTTAACAAGATGAGAAATGCCAATATGTAAAATTTAACTGATGATGATGATTGTGATGATTATAATGATGAGTCATGTGTTTGCATTGTTCTTTATAGCATGCTGAGTCATAGGAGCATTTTACTCACATCAACGCTAAATCATTCCTTTCGGCCTTCATCATCTCTTAGTGCTGGCAGCCACAGTAACCAAGTCAAATGTACACACTAATAGATTAAACCAGTTTCTTTAGTGTCTACAGTACATGCCTGCCTGGCTGGTAACACACACACACACACACACACACACACACACAGAAACAGGTTGCAGACTGTCTGGCTCCAAAGCACAAGATCTCTCTGATTGTAGAAATTATGGCAGACAGACAGGAGAAGAGATTAAGGTGCAGTGTAAGCCTGTGTGGATTTGGTTTGACAGGTATGAAGATTGTGTAGTGCTTACACGTTATTTGTTGTATGTGCATGTGTGTGTGTGTGTGTGTGTGTGTGTGTGTGTCTTTGTGTGACTTCAAACTAGCTGGTCACTGGTGTGTAATTCATTTAGGTAGAAATGTATTGCTAATATATTAGCAGAAGAGTTGTCCTTCTAACCAGTTGCATGATTATCAGTTTGGCAGATCATTTGAAATAACTCAACAACTGCACTGACTGTTAACGCACACTTCTTACAAAGGCTATACTGTCTGGACAGCCAGTGAAATCTACTTATTAAGCAAAAAGAAATGCGGCACTCACACTACGTTGATCTAGGTTCAACCTCCAGTGCAACTGCTGTAAAAATATGTACCAGCAGGTCAGTATTCTGTTATCAGTCATCTGGTCTGTGACAGTTCAATGAGGCCTGAAAAAATAAAATGTCGTACAGTGCAAAATTACTCAGTAAGTATTCATGCAGAAAAAAAGTTCCTATAGATGTAGATATTTAAGGTTTCACTCATTTTTACTTCTTAATATACCACTGGGTAGTTTAATATACAGTAATACATGATATTCTATAAGGTCATCATATGTTTGTAGCATGGCTGTCTTGTGAGAACCATGCACCTCTAAAAAGTCAACTTTTCATGGTTTCAGAAAAAAAGCCCTGTTTTCAGCTTTGTGATGATGCATTTTCCAGTTGATCCAAGAGGGATTTTAAAGAGTTTATATAGCTCAAGAGCTAGGAGAATTTTCTCAACATCTAAAGGAACATGTCATCCTTCAGTTTATCACATTCAAATTAACAAAATTTGGAGGTGCATTGTTTTTTATTGGACATGAGGAATAATAAAAATTGTACTCTGAAAAGTTGTAACTGAAACTGTCAGACAAATGTGGAGTAAAAAGTATAACATTTGCTTCTGAGATGTAGAGGACTAGAGTTGCGTAAAAAAGATATAATGTACTTAGTTACATTCCACCACTGCTTTTGACCCAGAGTTGCTCTGATTGCATTGTTCAATTCATATCATCATGAAAATTAAAACTGCTTGCACCCAGTTTTGGAAAAAAAGAGTCAGAAATGGATCAGACTTCATATATTTTCAGTCCAAATGCCTGGATCTGTTCTGATCCCAATACTTCGAATCAGCTTATTATTGGTCATTTGGTACTACTGCAGATATTTGCACACCTCCCAGTGTATTAAGTAATCAAGAGTCTTAACCTTGTGTTTGTTTTTTGCATGCAGGTCCATTTGACGGGCGTGGGGTGACTCTGCTGGAAGTATGTGGTAGCTGGCCTGAAAGCTTTGGTGTGCCACGGCACAATGTTGGCTCAGCAGACGCCAGTGATGAAGGCCTCCGGGAGAGACTGGCTGATGCCATGTCTGAGTCCCCCTCCAGGGATATAGTAGGCTCTGCTACAGGTCAGGAGAAACTGAACAACACACAAATGCAATAACACATTTAAACATTTTACATGTACACATGCCCACTTCCAGAAAACTTTTATTTTCCCATCAAAAGATTACTGATATTATGAATACAGAAATGTCGCCTCAGTGACGTTGCTCCTGCTCAGGTTATTCCAATCTGGACTTTAATCCAACCTTTTACAGTGTGGTTATTAAATATGACTGGTGAAAATCAGAGAAAGGATACATGAATGCCCAAAAATGATACTGCAAAGTAAATCTGATCTAAAGATGCCATATAGTCTGAACAAATAAATGCAGCAAAAAGATACAGACAAGATAAGTGATTCACAGTGTTTTACCTGTCTTCACAGACTGTTTGTGATACATTTGCAGTTTGTGCATCCATATAAACAACTCTCATCTATTGTCAAGATAAGTCCCTGATGATGATCTGCAACAGAAATCATACTTAAATGAATTCTGTAGAGCTTTAAAATGTCTCTAAGTTTGAGAATAGGTCAATATGTTACGCATTGTGGGAGGCTGTAAACTTTTAGATTACAATGTGAGAAGAAAAATCTGAATATGATTTGTTTGAATGTTAAGTTTTCATGCCTCTGCACTGGCCATAGCCATGGCTATATAGGCATTATATTTTGGGGTTTTCCATTTGTCTGTACATTCTTACATGTGTGAATGTTTTATACAAGTAAAAATTTAATCATACAAATTCAGATTTTGCTCTATGAGTTCTCACATCATTTTCTACAAGTGCTCACATTTTACATCATCTTTACCTCCACTACAACTTTGCATATTAAAGGAATGTCCTGGGGATGTGGCTTAACATACATTTGTACAACTTGAAAGCAAATTATTTTCTTAAGATGCTTTATGCACCTGAAAAAGGTCATTTTACGTGTAATATTGGTCAATCTTGTAGCAGTAGTCCTTACACAAAAACACTCATCATTTGGGGTCTGGCACTGTTTTTGTTCTTATTCCATATATATCTTACTACAAATGTGTCCAGTGCAGCAAAGTGTCATGTCAGGTAGCCTGACCTCCTTACTGTGGCATTACCCAGTAATATACAGTGCTGCCAGGTCAAGGCCCAGTGATGGATTAGCTCACCACTAGCAAGATGTTGTGGTTTTTATGTGTGTGTGTGTGTGTGTGTGTGTGTGTGTGTATGTGTGTATGTGTGTGTGCGCGCGCAGCACACATGCCGTCAGCCCTGACAGTCCAAATGGTTAACTCGTTTAGGAAGTGGCAGTGCTCTCTTTCTCTTCCCCCTCCTCTTAAGTGGACAAGGGTTCCTTTGATTTAAATGTGTGTGTGTGTGTGTGTGTGTGTGTGTGTGTGTGGGGGGGGGGGGGGGTAGCTCCATACAAGCAGTCACGGGGGGGGCGGGAGTGTTGGGGTATAGGAGTGGTGGAGGGGGGGTTCACAAGGCCCTAATGGATTTAGCATCGACTATCAACCCCCCCAACCATCTCCAGCCATATCCAGTCCAGTCCCTTTCTCTCTCTCTCTGTAAGGACTTAACCTTGTTTGTAGCCTCCCTCTCTCTCCTTCTCTCTGTGTCTCACTTCTCATCACTATTTTTTTAACTGCTGCCCCCAAACCCCCACCCTCTGTGTTTCTTCATTAGATTAGATATTGGAGACTCCTTGACAGTAGTAGTCAGTTGCCTCTTGTTCTAGTCACCCCACCCCACCTCCTCACCCCATTGCATCTTGACCCCCACAAAATTCATTACTGATCACATTACATCAAAATACATGCGCAAAACACACACATATGCACACACACACACACAAAACACACACACACACACACACTCTCTTTCCTGTTCCTTGAGCTGTGCTGAAGACATTATCCACAGGGAACGTGATGGACTTGTTGGTTCCTCCATCCATCCATACAGGCAGCGAGGCTTCAGTCTCTGTAGGCTAATCTAATAGCGCAGCACTTCTGTGCAGTAACATAGGAAATGTTCCTGTGTCTGCTATAAGGAGGAGAGTGCCATAGATTGTTGGAGTTGGGATTTAATGAAAGAAAGGGCCTGGTTGGGACACTGCTGTTCATTTTGGTTCCACTATGACAAATTGATACAGTCTGTTTGATTACCTGTTTGTTAAAGAACTAATTCTTACTAATATGAGTTCTGCAAGACGAGCTTAAAGGTTTGATATGCCCAAATAAAAAAATAAAAATAAAAAAACATACTGTAATTTTCTCAGTTACCTTTGTAGTATCCAGCCATGCAGATACTGTAGTTTTAATTTTATTACACCAGATTTAAAGATGTCACATCTCTCTGTTAGCACTTGATTTGAAGCACTTTCTATCAAAGCAATGGTCCCTATGAAAACTACTGTTTTCAGTGTATTCTACAAATTATTGGCAGTAACGGGGGCACTGATCTGGACAGAGAAGGAGCGACTGCCCGCCCTGGTGCCGCCTTGGTTGAAAACGCCGTGCTAAAGTGCCCTCTTGAGTGGCAAAAATGAGAGGATGTGCCCTATCAGCTGCCCTCTTGAATGATGAAAACGAGCAGATGTGCCCTTTTGGCTGCCCTCTTGATTAACAAAAATGAGAGGATGTGCCCTTTTGGCTGCCCTCTTGAGTGGTGGTCATTTATAAAAAGATAAATCACTTTTCTATAATACATCACTGATATTTCAATGGAATAAATTACTTATTGACTTATTCATACTTCAAAAACAGCATCAATAAGTGATTAACATAGGGGGGATCAAAATAAAATAAATAAATAAAATAAAAATCAACCAGCCACCCTCCTCCCCTGACAGTCCCTTCATAAGTAACGAACAGTCCCTAAAGTGCGGTGAGGTTTGTGGACCGTTACTGACACAAAGACAGAAATGTGAACGGCTCGTTTGTCCTCTGACACGCCACATACCTGTGTGCCGCCACAGCTCCGTTGTCCAGGTACTACTGGGCAGTCATGACACCAAGGAAAGAGGAAATTACTGGACCTGGAGTTGGACGTTATCTAGCTCCGCAGAGCACTATGAGCCTCCGCCATATTCCTGTCAACCCACAACTGCCAGGATTCACCTTTCCTTTCTGCTGCTGGTTGAAACGTGATAATAGGGGCGCCCCAGCGCCCACTCCACTAACTTGACGTGGAAATGAGCGGTAGTCTAGAAAACTGGTGAGTTTTGTTTTGTTTTGTTTTTTTTGGAGGGCGCTCGTGCACCCTCACATATATTGCGCTCTGGGCGGTCGCCCACATTGCCCATAGCAAAACTGTCCCTGGGTGTACAGGAAATCTAAAATAACCACTTGTCAACCAGACCCACTGTTGACACTAATCTCGCGACAACTGCCACCCAGGCTACTGCAGGTGGCAGTTCTCGCAAGGCTAGTGACAGAGTTCAGTTTGGAGAGGCAGAGGAATGTTTTCTTTTTTTAAATTATGTTATAATACGGGAGATTTACGGGAAAATACTAATACGGGAGGACGGCGGGAAAGAGGAGTAAAATACGGTAGTTTCCCGGCCAAAACAGGAGACTTGACACCTATGCTCTTGAGTGATCAAAACAACATGAGGTGCCCTATTGGATGAAAACGAGCGGATGTGCCCTTTTGTCTGCCCTCTTGTCCCCATGTCATGCAGTAGGTGCCCTTTTTTTCACAGATTTTTAAATCAATCTTCTTGGCTCAAGAAAAGTTTTACAAATCTAAAACCTCTATGGATCAAAAACTCATAATAGAAAGTCATAATCGACCCTGTATACAGTTGAACAAACATCAAATTAAGGTCAAATCAAGGCTAAAGATGTAGATTGGCCGTAGGGAGAGCAAATTTTATTTTATTCGTTGTGGTATTCATACACAGCACTTACAAATAATGTTAAAACATCTTCTTGGCCCTGACTCTGAGGATCTGATTTCCTCTGACTTTCTATTGGAAACAGGCAACAGTCAACATGTCATCCCATCCACATATGATACACACAAGATACACTTCTCCCTGGGTTAAAGTGAGAGACAGAGTTTTCTGCCTGAGTTATGACGTGTGCTCTCTGAATGTGTGTGTGTGTGTGTGCGTGTGTGTGTGTGTGTGTGTGTGTGTGTGTGTGGGTGTGTGTGTGCGTGTGTGTGTGTGTGTCTGTGTGTGTTGGCGTGAGACTTAGATGGGCAGGGGCAGATGGTATCTTGCTCAGTGTCTCCATTTGGTGGGAGCTGTGGCCCCAGCACTTAGACACACAGTACACTGGAGCTGCAAACACAAACCTTTAACCTGATTGCACACACACACACACACACACACACACACACACACACACACACTTGCACACACTCTTACCTCACCTATATGGACATTCCCCTCATCTATTCCTGTCATATGTTTCCATGCAACTGTTGAATGAATTCTTTGTAACTTTTCAAACTTTTATAGATAAATAGTTTCAGCTGAGTCTATGTCATTATTCGTGTAATTTCACTGCTATCTATCACCATATTTTTCATCTATGAAAACAATAGGCTGCATGAACTTTTACAAAAATAGATTTGGATGGAAACACAGCAGCAAGACATTTCTTTCCTTCTCTATGTGTCTACTCAGAGGATCTCGGCTGGAATGCTCACTGATGTAACAAATCACCGTCTCTCTGACATTCTCCTCCGGCACACACACACACGCACACACGAGTGCACTCTCTTGCAGATTCACAGGAAAAACAAAGCCTCCAGTCAGGGTAATGAGGCTCTCACGCTAAGGCCGAGACCCAGTGTCGCCAGCTTGGAGGGCAGGTGACACTCACATAGAGAGATGGACGGCTGGACGGAGGGAGAGAGAGAACAGAACATGAAGAAGAGGAGGAGGGAGAGAGTAAGAGTGTCACTGAGGACTAAAAGACACTGGGACTGAAATTAGATTTGGCTCCAATGATATAATGTTGCTAACAAGATTTGGCTTATTGGTGCCTTTCCAACATAAATTCCACTAAAGCCATATGGAGAGTGGACT